GCCTTCCGTTGATCACTAACAATGCCACACAAACGCTGAAAACAGTGTAAAAAAGATGACATTTTCAGTGAAATTATATGACATTATATATAAGGCATGTCGTCTGAAATAATTTTTAATGTCTGGGCTCTTTAAATTGTTATTAAATCTAAGCACACGGTTGCACACAGTAACTCTGTTTCAAGTACAGTGTAAGTACGAAGTTTCACAGTTTATGTCATAGTAATATTTCTATGTAGTGGTACCATGGCCAGATAAACACAACTAATGCTTTTCGCATGATCGATAAACTACAGTGCCGTAGTTTTACATCTAACAAGAGTGCGCAAGTGCATGACCCTGTTTTTTTTTTTTACAACCAAGTCGCTATAAAACGCTGCATTCATACAGCATATAAAAGTCCTCATGTTTGGGAGGATGCCAAGAGCATTTTGCAATGAGCTAGAAACAGAAATCTGCACCCATTCTGAAATTATTCTGTTGAATAGAGGGTACTACGACTCAAAACAGCACTCTGGAAAGTTGCACTTGCCGATCTTATTACAATGCATTAGCTAGCTGCTGAGCAAGGCCAAATGCTTTCAAAAATAATTTCAGGAATACGTAGAAACAGTTACACTTATGCTGACATGACCGGACAAACCACACTTTGAGAACATGCATGACGTACGCACACATAGAAATGCGACATGGCAAGCTGAAGATGCAAGGAGCAATCCACACTTGACCGTTTCGGCTAGTTGCCGCGAGGTGGCGACCTTGCTTGATCTCGGGGCCAATAGCGACTCGGTGGTAAAAAAAAAAAAAAGCACAGGCTCTGGCCATGCACTTGTGCGCTGTTGGTACGTGTACAACTACGGCACTGTAGTTTATCGATCATGTGAGCAGCCTTAGTTGTGTTTGTTTGGCCGTGGTAACACTACATAATAATATTACTCACATAAACTATGAGGCTTCGGTACTTACACTTTACTTAAAATAGACTTACCGTGTGAAACCGTGTGCTTAGATTTAAGAACCCTTTAAAAAGCTAAGACGTTGAAAATTAATTCAGACAGCATGCTAAATATATAATGTCCTATAACTTCACTGAAAATTTGTTTGGCATTATTAGGGACTGACAAAGGGCAATGGTACTTTTTTGTTTGAAAAAAAAAATCAAGGCCTTTGTTGCAGCGCCGTCATGCACGTAATCCATCGATGAAAGCTTTTTGCTGAACTCTTATATAAGATTTTTATTGGTGCAAGAACATGTGCAAACACATACCTGGTAAACGCAGCGTAGCCCAAAGTGGCGTCAGCCACTAAATTTTCCTGACAAGACTTATTGTGGACTGTCCCACATTTCATGGTGAACAGAATCAGAGAAAAAAATATTATATGTATATAAGGTGCAAAAAGTGGTACTGAACGAATAGCATAGATATGTGGGCTTTCTATGATATTTCTTTCTCTCTTTTTTGTAGTATGTAGATGATAAAGATGTAAATGTAAATAAGTATTCAGTCATGCTACAGCAGTACACAGCTGGCTGAACACGTACAAACAACACAGAAAAGGCGGGATTTAGTGCGAAAGCGTGAAAAGTTACCTAGCGCGAGCATCTATATGAATTGCAGAATGCGCTTTACTCACGGGTAATAGTAACATTGCATAGGCGTCGTGCACCGATTCATAGAGAAGAGCGTAGATATTAACACTAAATTGTAGTCAACGCATTTTATTCGCTGACTATCAGCTCAGACCGCACGCAACGAAACGCTGCTGCGCGTATTTGTATATGCGCCGCCGACCGCCTATCCACACTTGCGCGGGAACGGTGCTGTCACCTATAGCCCGATCTCGCTGTGAATCTCGCTTGCTTCCGTTGCCTTTCTCGAGGACCGCGCCCGCCATTTTCTGGTCAAGAATGCTGTGTTGCACTGATAGCTGTACGGTGTGATTGAGATGTACGAAGCACGCAGCGATAGCGTGAGGTAAGCACACGAGAAAGATGATTACTGATGCATGATAGAAAGTCACCTCAAATACTCCTTTTTGTTGATGGAGCCACAACTCTCGGTGGCGAGGGCACTATTTTGCTGCATTGTGACCCCTTTTGGCGCACTGGCTGCAGATCGCAGTAAACTGGCGTTGGAAAAAGAGGGAGACTGTAGCAACGGTGTAATGGAGGGTTGATTGCAGGAGATGTTGCCGCGTGAGCGCGATGCACGTACAACGGATTTTTAAAGGCACTGTTGGGGACGCAGCGGAACCATGCAGTAATCTGTTCGTCACCTCATGTGCGCCACCGTTAGCAAGAGAAAACTATATATGATGATGTCATTGTAACGTTATCGAAAGTGCATGGCCTTTTCTATGTTTGTTATTGCATGGAAAACACCTCAGCTTATTCGCATGACCCTATCCCCTATCATGAAATCATTCCGGAACTATGAAGAGAATATACATGCTGAAGTAGCGGCACTGCTGACGGATGACTCGTCAGGCTGCGACATGTGCACGTACATTTCTTCTGGGATCTATTAGCAAAAACTGGCGTGTCTATACATGAAACGCGTTACCATCGAGCGTCAAGCTGAGCGCGCCCTTAGCTAGTTGCGTGCAGTGCATCACTTACTGAGCTCACTGCATCAGTGCCATGCCCTGTAATATATACGCGTGCATTTACCCTTGCACAGAGATCTTCTTTCTTCGTGCTCGCTTGGCACTGGACCGAGCAAAAGTGTGAAGGCTATTTTTGTCGAGCCAATGTGGCGGTGGCGAGTTGCCTTCATTTCCACGAGCGATACGCGTTGCGGTCCCGTGCACAAGGGCCGGGCAGCGGACGGCGTGGTCGGTACACTTACACGAATCGTAACAGCCCTAAACCGTAACAGTGCTAAACCGCCAAGCCACACGTACTGCTGTGCAGGAAGTACATGATTTAGATTTATTGAGATGTTTATCATTGGTAGGTTTGTCGCGATGACTTGCCACCGCATTCGTTGGTAGCCGTCATCACACTCCCATGAATTTCCATGCAGGCATCACCACACTTGTGCCGAAGTCATAATAATTAATGTGTGATCTACTGAGGCGCTTATGGCAAATGCGCAAAATCGTACGTTCTTCACAGTGACATATGTGAAAGAATATTCGTGAACATCGAATATTCGAGGAATATTCAAGTTAGTTCGAATATTCGAGGAATATTCAAGTTAGTTCGAATATTTGAAATTTTGAATATGTGGCTATCGAATCAAATATGAATATTACAAATGGAAGATTTGCTGAATATTCGAAACTTTCGAATATTTGCACACTCCTACTTAAAAGGAATTTGATGAAAGAATGTGTACTCAAAAAAAGATGTATTGTGTTATAGTGGCGCCACACATACCACACATTCTAAATATACTTCAAATATTTATTGTGACAATTATAATACGCCTGCACAATATAATTGGCATTAACTTGTTTCTGTGGACCAGCTTTGTTAAGTGTGAGTGTATTCACTCTCGATCCATTTGTCTTTTTTTTTATAACAAGGCTGTTAATTCTGCTACGATTCGCTTTGTCTTGTAGTCTAAAAAAATTGGTACACAGAAAGCAACTTGAAGCAGAATGCACTTGCATCACCCAAAACAAATGTGTGCTGGCTCAAGATATATTATTACGGTAACATAGAAGATATGGTAATTATTTTCTTTGGATAATAATAAAGATCCAGGTTAAACATTAGGAAGATGAGAGAAGTTAATAAACAAAAGAAGTATTTTTATAAGCGATAGCCATTCACACAAGGCTAAACTTATTGTCTGGTTAATTTATGGTTGTGGTTTACTTCAGCTTTTTAATAGTTTCTGAGGGTTTTGTTTGTTATTATTTGTCATAAGATTACAGGTATTATGAATGACTTGTACACACTTAAACTCTTATTGCAGTGGAGTCACTATATTGGGATTATCATTTTTATCTAAATGTTGCATGGCTCCATTTTGAATGCATGCATTTTAGACCTCAATGATCAAAGCCACTGGGGTGTTCTTGTACTGAAGGTTAACTGATTAAGGTTTGGAACCTTGACGCACATGAGTGGCGGCCTGAACCTGCACATTCTCGCCGCGTAAACGACACAGAGGATGACGCACTCTTACCACTTTGTTTTCTGCTTCTTTTCCGCAAACATCATGCGTAGGAGGAACAGAAAGGTCGTATTTTTACAGTACTAGAGGCTTATTACAGGGGCAATGCATTGCATGTGTCTTGCATTGCAAAAGCTGCCAGTGGCCATGGCAGCTTTTGAGATCGTCACATTTGAATGTGTGCTCAATCTCGGACACCATGATCAAGTGATAAGAGAGCACCATGGCATTCTGGTGCATTTGTGTCCTACCAGCTCACTTTTATGCTGTCTTTCATTGTTATGCTTGGTGGGTGTGTCATAATAATTTCTAAGCTCGTGTGTTAGTGCTGTGTGCAATATCGACACTTAGATTTGTTAAACTTTGGCAGCTTTTAAAAATACCTTACACAAAAGTTTCTTGTGTTCTCCTGCCCGAGATCAAAGAGTATGGGGAAAATTTTGGGGAGTTGCACCTTTCTGTAAACAGTGAGGATAATACTGCTTCAGGCTCACTTCATTTATTCCTGTTAAGATTGTGTCTTGTCTCACTTTCAACGCTGTACTGCACTTAAAGAACACAGTAGTAGTTTCAAAGCTGGCATGTGGTATTGACGCTGTTGGTATGTTCTAGAAGCCAGACTAACTGTCCATTGAGTGAGGTGCACCTAATAAATTTGACGTTGTTGTGATATCAAAATTTTTAAATTTGTTTAATGAAGGCTCACCTCCTGCAGTATGCTGCAAGTCTAGAATGAAATACAGCCACTAATTAGGTCTGCTAAGGTATGTACCGCCCCACCCCCTTCAATTGACGCCTTCTTCTGTACCAAAAATATGATTCTATCTGAACGTTACGCTGATGTTCTGAGTTTAAACAAACTCAACTTTTCAGGGCTGGTCGTCGTGGCAAGGATGCAACAGGCACAGTATTAATACTTTGCAAAGGAGATGTTCCAGAGTCATCACAGTTACAAGCAATGATGCTTGGTCGACCAACAGAACTGCAGTCGCGTTTCCGTGTTACATACTCCATGATCCTTAACCTGAAAGCTCAGGCCAACAAGCGTGTTGAAGACATGATGAGGGACTCCTTCCGTGAGAACTCCAGCCAGGTATGTGATAAATCATTACTTTCTCTGAAACTTTTTGTTTTGTCAGTGTTGCACTGCAGCTGAACTAGCTTTGAACATACCGTCAAAGACTTATGGAACGGCATCATGTCTACCATGCTCATTTTGTTATCTGTATAGATGCGCCTAATTATATCATCCTATCAATTCTAAACGAGCTGAAGTTTTCTGCTCAGCTTTTTTTGCCATTTGACTTATCGAGGCTGTTTGCAATTTTTATGTTCATGCACCTCAATTCTGTATGTTGTCAATGCCGTACTTGGCCTTCTGTATTTAAAACTTGAAATGGGTCAGCCCCTTTATTGTATTTCACTTTGGATGTCTTCTTGCATACTGATATTTGTGTGAGGTTAAATTCTTGTATTTGTCACTGTTCATGTTTATTACTTGCTCACATTTCTTACATTAACATGAATGTCTGTGTGCTTTCGATTGTGAAAGTTCTTATAAAATTAAACTAACATTCCTTGCCTGCCGATTTTCTAAAACTTATATGCTCCATGATACAAACCTCATTGTATGAATGTAGGGGTTTGTCTCATCTGCAGATGTTAACAGGTGTCAAAAGAGAGGTTTTTTGTCGTAATAGTTAGTCTGTACAGTGTGGTCTTCGTCAAGGAGCACTCTATGCAGAAGATACTTCTCACTTGAACGCTGTAATAGATTCAAGGAGAAAGGGGGTGACTCAGCGATCTCCCCCCCCCCCTCAAAGCCACTGACTAACCTCCCTCTCGTAGTGCGCACCTTCTCGACACCAATTTTTTGGCATGTGAAATTTTTTAGGCTGCTGTGATGCTCTTTGCTGTCTGCAGCGAGAAATGTACCCATCATTTCGAGGTTGCACTGAGCGTGAAACTGGTTCTTTTTGTGAGCGAGCAAATCGCTTCCCATCTGCATCAAATTCCACACCTTCTGACTTGGCAGATGTTTGAACCCACGTGAGCATGCCAACAATGTTATGAACAAAAAGGATGGTTTTCCAGTGAAACATTGTTGCTATGTGGCTGCGATGGCACATTCTGTCCTAAACAATTTTTTGGACATGGGGGGGGGGGTCACATGTGCCCCCCCCCCCCTTTCGTTCATTGATTACAGGGGATTACCGGGGAAAGACCCGAGCTTAAGGTTCACATTTTTGCATTTGCACAGCAGCCTCTAGACTAGTTAGAGGTTGCTTGCAAGCTGGGCGATTTCACGAGAAATCGAACATGCATGTTCAGACGATATTTTTGTTTTTTATGGTTTTTTTTATATGTTATAGGTATATTCTAGGTGCACGAAAACTGAAAATTTTATGTGGCACCGATTTCCACTTCGCTGACTTCTGCTGACGATGCTACTCGATTTCTGCAGCGGGTGCATCAACCAAAGTCACATTCTTTGACTTGTTGCTAAGTTGAGACACTATCATCTTGTGCACTGACTGAATGAAGTCGGTGCTTCCAGACCTCAGGTTGTGCAGTGATGCTTGATGCTTAACGAGTCCACCCACACCATCACAGGCATTCTTTTCATTGCCGGTAGGGGAAAATAACCACTTTGCGGATGTGCACTTGGTGCGGCGCAACTTGCAAAGTTGATACCTATTTTAAAATGGCTCGCTGCCCCATCACTGACATATATCACGTGACAGTAGATGGGCACTCTCTCATCTGAAATTTCATGCACTCTAACTAAAAGGCAACAGACGTGGGCTGCGTTGTGAGCCATAGCATCGCTTATGACATCAAAACTGCGTGTGGCTCTCCTTGTCCTGGCCATGAAGGTCACATTTCGATAGTGGCAAAATGGTACAGGCGAGGGACCTTATATTTAGGTGCAAATTAATGAGCAACAGGTGGTCGAAATTTTCCAAGCCCTCCTCTAGAGCGTCTCTCATAATGATGTTGTGCGTTTTTGACATAAAACGTCACCTATGCTTTATTCTCGGTGTGGACAAGCCCGTTAGCAACAAGCGAGCAAATCATAATAAGCTTGACAGCTTCTGGCACAATCATGCAGCACTTTACGTTTTCAAACAGCCGAAACGCAGGGGTAAAAGTTCAGGCAATAAAGGAAGAATTGTAAAAAAACTTGTTGTTCGGCTAGTTGGTAGATCATTTCAAAAAATTAATTTGAGCACAAACACACAACACATTCACGTACACACGCTTGTGTTTGATGCGTGATGTGTGTTTGATGCCTGGGTTTGTCTGTGTGCGTGAATGCATCGTGGGTTTGCGCTCGAAATAATTTTTTGAAATAAAAGAAGAAGTTAAGTGAGAGCGACGCGGAAGAGGTGATAATGGGAAACAAAATGAATGGCTCGTTATTAGCTGAGGTAATGTTTCCAAAAACTAATTTAAGTACATTGTGCGTTACACTATGTGGTTGAAGGTCCCGGTATCTACTGCACGGAATACAAGGGAAACAGGCAGTGAGAAGAAAGCACCTTCTTAACGGCACACATGCTCATTATGGAGGCCGGCAGTTACATATAAGGCTTCCTTAGTGCCAATTACATAAGCTGGACAGTGTGCTCCTGGCTGGTTTTGGCAAGGTCATTCAAATCCTCATAATGAGGTTGGAGTGTATAAACCTATCACTTGTGTCACTCCTGAGGCATCATAAAAAAAAAGTAATGAAAGCAGCGAGTCACTGTGGATCAAAATGCAAAACTCCGAAGGGCTGAAGTCGGCAATAATTGTGTGAGTAACCAATGGTACATTGAAGGGCAGTTAAAGCTGCTTGTGTAATGAAGGTAAAAGTTGCATGATCAGTTACCAATCAACTGAGAAATTATCCCATCATGAACACACAAATATGCACTGTCTGCAATAATCCAATACAAAACGTCTTCAATCACAAGGTACTCTAAATGATGGGTACACAACATAGCAAGATATACTCAAAACAACGGGCACAAGCAACAACACATGCTACAATGTAATCTCATGTACTAAGCAAGACACTTAAGGGGAGACGCGTTTCTTAAAATGGTGAAAAATGGCCAAAACTTCGATTTTGAGAAAATGTGATATTTGAAATTTTAGACCTATAAGCACGTGTCCTCAAATTGTGAACGCTGAATTCGATCAGTAAATGGATTAAAATTGATTATGAAGTCACCACGGGAGCCGCAAGACAACCCACGGCAGGTCAAATTCGTTCAAACTTCCCGCGCACGCCGCCGGCGAGGCAGTCGACCGATCGCCGCCATCTTGGGCTTGTTTTGAAGCTGATTCCTTTGTGCGCATTTTGCCACCCTTCAAAATGGCGTCGCTTAAACAGAACGGCTGCCCTCGCCCCTTTTCTGAAGCCCCCTTCCAGGCCGCCGATTGGCCAGAGCGTGCGCGCACAAGACGAGCCTCCTGTTCCTCGCTTCCCATTGGCTGATGCGGCCAAAGTTGCCCGCACTTTTTTTTATATATTGTTCGTCGGCCGCCAATTCCCGTTCGCGCACGTTGTTCGTCTGCTTCCCGCACGTGCCTGCTTGTGCTACGCGACCGACTCAACGACTTTCTGTCTTTTGCCGGCATGATTGGAGACGCTCGTCTAAAGAAGATGATGCGCCAAGCGTACAGCAAAAAACGGAGGCGCCCGTGGAACGCACGCCAGAAGAAAGCAGCCGATTTCGCCCGATGACCCCGAAGCGGCGCATTCTGACGACGGCGCGCAGCCGCAGCCGCTTGTGTCCGAAGCGTTGCACTCTCCTGTGCCTTGCAGCAGCACCTCATCGGATTGTGTCGTCGTCGGATCGTCATCTTGCACTTCCAGCAGCATCCTAGACCGCATTGACACGGCGTTTTATTCGGCGGACGAGTTTGCTGAGCCCGCGAGAAATGTAGCAGGCTTGAAGGCATCACTCGCATCGCAGTGCGCGACGGAACGTAAGTTCGAGTTACTAGATATTGATCTGGAGGATGGTGGTAAAGAAAACGGGACAGAATTTGTTATTGTTGATCTGGCGGCGATACGCTCGTTATTTGGACTTTTGTCGCGTGCCCAGAATGTGGTGAATGAAGTGTCACTATTTCAAAGGCCAAGAAAGAGTACGGGCTGTGTTCGAAGCTCGTAGTCACGTGCGGCAGTTGTGACTTTCGCGAAGAGCGTTTTTCGTCCCCACGTATAGCCAATGAGACTGACGCCAAAATAAGGCCGTTTGGAGTTAATATGCGTGCCATGAAGGCCATCAACAGTATCGGCAAGGGGGCAACGGCTCTGTCGGACTTCTTCGCCGGGATGAATATTTCGCATCGAGGGCTTCACCACAACAGTTACCAAAGCCACTTGAATATAATGAAAGAAGCCTGCTGTGCGACTGCTGCCGAATGCGAAGCGGCGAGCGTTGCTCGCGTCAAGGAGCTCTATGCGGAGTTCGCCAACACGCCCGGAAGCGTCGACGTCATTTATGGCGGCACCTGGCTTACGCGTGGACATAGCTCGCATATATGTGTTGGCTGCATTGTTGAGATGTATAGTGGCCTCGTGATAGACCATATCGTGCAATCGAACTTTTGCCTAGCTTGCACCACAGGATCCAAGGAAGGAGAAGCAGGACATTCTGCCTGGCTCATTCAGCATGCCCCTCTGTGCCAGAAGAATGTTGATTGTAATGCTGGCCAGATGGAAGTGGAGGGAGCACTACGCTTGTTTGAGCGGTCACTTGAAAAGCACAAGCTTTGTTATACGACAATGCTGTCGGACGGCGACAGCAGGACATTCCTTGCACTCACAGAAAAAGAGGTGTACGGTTTCATAAAGGTGGCCAAAAAGGACTGCATAAATCATGTACACAAGCGTATGGGAGCTGCCTTACGTACCCTTGTAGAGAAAAAAAAAAGCTCGAGGTGGCTCACTTGGTGGAAAGGGCAGACTTATGCAACAAAAATAAAGAAGATCACCTCATACTATGGCTACTCATTAAGAAGCCACAGGAACGATGTTCCAGGTATGCAGAAGGGTGTTCTAGCAACTTTGAACCACATGTCTTCAACCGACGA